TCTCAGGGGTCCTATGTCTTCTTTGTAGGATGCGGTGGCTCAGTGGCTAAGACGCTGAGCTTGTCTATCAGAAAGGTCGTCAGTTTGGCGGTTCAAATCCCTAGTGCTGCATAGTGGAGTGAGCTCTCGTGACTTGTCCCAGCTTCTGCCAAACTAGCATTTCGAAAGCACGTAAAAATGCAAGTGGAAAAATAGGAACCACCTTTGGTGGGAAAGTAACAGTGTTCCGTGCGCCTTCGGCATTGAGTCATGCTAGCCACATGACCACGGAGACGTCTTTGGACAGCGCTGGCTCTTCGGCTTTGAAACGGAGATGAGCACCGCCCCCTAGAGTCGGGAACGACCAGCACATATGTGCGAGGGGAACCTTTACCTTTAGCTGATCCTTAGATCCCTCTTTCTCTTATCATTTTCTCTTTCCTCTTATTTCTTTTTCTTCTGTTCCTCCTTACAGGATTTCAATCCACCCAAAAAGAGAAGGAAGAATGTAAGCACGAAACGCGGCAAGAAAAAAGGTAAGGCTCGATGAAAAGGGAGGAGTGATCTCTTCACACACACACACACACATACACAAACACACACACTTTCAATCGGAAAATTTGCGAAGTTTAGCAAACTTCCTTCCTTGCACCCCAAAATTCCCACTGTCTCGCCTGCTGGTTTTGAGGAAGCGAAGGGGAATTCTCAAATTGGGATTCTTTCCAGTGAAAAGATTAAAACACCTGGAATCGGTTTTCAAAGCGGGGAAGTCTCGAAATCGATCGCCGAATATCTGCTCGGCGTTTTGTTTTCTCTGAATTGATTGCAATTGGCCTTTGCGTATATTAACGATGGTCGAAGCATTCGCAATCTTCCCAGGCCGGCTCCCAATCGCCAAAGTCGATGAGGAAAGGTGGATTTGCTTAGCGACCGCATGGTTCGTTTAACGACTGCAGTGGCTCACTTAACAAATCTAGAGGGGGGGAGGAGGTGTTAAAATTGGACGCGACTCGCTTTAACAGCCACCTTACTTGGCAGTGGGGAATTCTGGTTGTAAGGCGAGGATCCCCTGCAGTTCCTTTGCTCCTTGTGAATGTCAGTTCCTCACTGAGGTCTAGCCTCTTGATAGAAACCCAAACTCTTCCTATCTTAAGGTAGATTTTTCCCCCCGTACTAATTTCATTCCCTTCCTTTCTTTCTCCCTTTCTCTCCCCTCTTTTCCCTTCCTCATCCTCCAGGTTTCCGCAGGAGACGATAAACCTCCCTACTCAGGATTGAGGTCGGCACACCCCTAAAATAGCTCAGAATCACCCCGATTTAGCCTGCATGGGATATTATTAATAATAAAGCTGAAAGGCCATCATTTCCGGTTTAATCTCTGTCGTGTTTCTTGTTTTCCTGGCGGAAAAGCCATAATAAAGTCAGTTGAGGAAGAAGAAGAAGAAAATTGGGGCTTGTTCTGAATACTACCGTATTTTTCGGAGCATAAGACACTGCGAAGTATAAGACACACCTAGCTTTTGGGGAGGAAAACGAGAAAAAAATTTTGCCTCCTTGCAGCAAACAGCAAGTTTCAGTTCCAGCACAGCCTGATTAGCACAAGCAGCTGATTGTTGGGCCTCGATGATCAGCTGTTTCAGGCTGCAGGGATTGTCACAGCATAGCATATTGCCGCTTCCGCGCGCTCCATTTTCGGCTTCCGCATCCTGTTTTCAGCCTCTGCACGGCGGGGATTGGAATGGGTGGAAAATGGGGTGTGCGGCGGCCAAAAAAGGGGCATGCAGAGGCCAAAAAAGGGATGTGGAGGGCGAAAATGGAGCGCACGGAGGCAGCAATAGGCAATGGCAATCCCTGCAGCCTAAAACAGCTGATGGTCAGGATCCAACTGACAATCAGCTGCTTGTGCTAATCAGGCTGTGGTGAAAGAAACAGGCTGTTTGCTGCAAGGAGGCAAATTGCTGGAAGGCAGAGGCCAAAGGGTGGGGTCTGGCGGGTGGGTGGGACTACATTCGGTGTATAAGACGCACCCAAATTTTCACCCTCTTTTTTGTGGGGGGGTGCGTCTTATACTCTGAAAAATATGATAAGAAAAGTAAACTTGTTTCCCTAATTTAACCTACCATATTTTTCAGAGTATAAGATGCACTGGAGTATAAGACACACGAAGGTTTTGAGGCAAATTTGAAAAAAAAAGTAGGTAGGTAGATAGAGAGGGAGAGAGAAATACAGTAGGGAGGGAGAGAGAAAGAGGGAGAGAAATACGGTAGGTAGGGAGAGAGAGTAGTTAGGTGGGTAGGTAGGTAGATAAAGGGATAAAGAGAGAAATAGAGCTAGAGAAATACGGTAGGTAGGGAGAGAGAGAGAGTAGGTAGATAGAGGGAGAGGGAGAGAAATACGGGAGGGAGGGAGAATAGGTAGGGAGAGGGAGAGATATACAGTAGATAGCTAGGGGGAGAGGGTGGGTAGGTAGGTAGGTAAGTAAAGGGATAGAGAGAAATACAGTGGGTAAGTAGGGAGAGAGAGAGTGTGTGTAGATAGGTAGAGGGATAGAAAGAAATAGAGAAATACAGCAGATAGCTAGGGAGAGAGAAGTAGGTAGATAGATAGTGGGATAGAGAGAAATACAGCAGATAGCTAGGGAGGGAGGGAGTAGGTAGATAAAGGGATAAAGAGAGAGATAGAGAAATACAGTAGGGAGGGAGGGAGGGAGAGAGAAATACAGGAGGGAGTGAGAGTAGGTAGGTACGTAGGTAGATAGAGGGAGAGGGAGAGAAATACAGTAGATAGGGAGAGAGAGAGAGAGAGAGAGTAGGTAGGTAGGTAGATGTTTCCAGGTGTATTTATCCATGTGCTGGAAAAGGAAATTGCTGACAATCTGCAGCACCTAAGACTTTGTTTCTGCTGCTAAGACTTT